TCTAATCCCACTCTTAAATTTTATGGACATTCTCTTCCTTCCATTCCAGTCAAACAGGTTGACCCATTGTTAGACATTCAAATCACTCCGGCTTCTGTTGCTAAAGTCATATCTCAATTAAACTCGTCTACAGCTTGTGGTCCAGACAACATTCCTGTCACAGTCTTGCAAAATTGTTCTCCAGAACTTTCTTCAATTCTCTCTAAACTATTTAACTGAGTCTTGTTTTCCTGCTTGTTGGAAAATGGCATCTGTGGTTCCAATATTCAAAAGCTCTGGAGAAAATTCTGACCCCTCCAATTATCGCCCGATCAGTCTTCTTTCTGTTATTAGCAAGGTCTTTGAGTCTTTGATCAACAAATTCCTCACATCTCATCTTGAGTCAAATAAACTGCTGTCAGACAATCAATACGGTTTTCGATCCTCTCGCTCTACAGCCGACTTGCTAACTGCTGTAACTGAAAGATTTTATCGTGCATTAGATGGAGGCGGTGAGGCTAGGGCTAATGCTCTCGACATATCTAAAGCTTTCGACAAAGTTTGGCATGCTGGTCTTCTCCATAAGCTTGCTTCATATGGTGTTTCTGGGAAAGTTTTTGTGATTATCAAATCATTTCTTTCTGACCGGTTTATTAAAGTCATCCTTGAAGGCCAATACTCTTCTTTATTTCCAGTAACTTCTGGGGTTCCCCAAGGTTCCATCCTGGGCCCTGTTTTGTTTCTTATCTACATAAACGATCTTCCTGACAACCTTTCATCTAAAGTAGCTCTTTTTGCTGACGACTCAACTTTATACTCCTGTCTTGACAAAAAGATCTCACTTCAGTAATAGATTGGGGTTCACAGTGGCTTGTGAATTTCAACTCTAAAAAAACCCAGTTGCTTACTGCAAACAACTACCGTAATATGGTCAACATTCCTATATTAATGAATGGCAATCCTCTTACTGAGTCCTCCTCTTTACGTCTTCTTGGATTATTGCTTACTACTGACCTTTCATGGAAACCATATATACAATCGATTGCTAAATTAGCTTCTGCTAAGGTTGCTTCTCTTTATCGTGCTCGGGGGTTAGGGTTAGGGTTAGGGTTAGGGTTCTCTACCTCTACAAATCTCTTATTCGTTCCTGTATGGAATACTGTTGTCATATTTGGGCTGGTTCTTCTAACGATTCACTTTCTCTTCTTGACAAGGTCCAAAAACGCATTGTAAATGTTGTTGGACCTGGACTATCTGCTAAGCTTGAACCTCTTTCCTATCGTCGTAAAGTTGCATCTCTTTCTCTTTTCTACAGATACTATCATAGTCACTGCTCAAAGGAGTTATCATCTCTAGTTCCATCAACTAAAATTCATTCTCGTTTTACTCGTCATTCAGCTAAGTCTCATTCGTTTACTGTATCTGTCCCTGCATGCTCTAAAAACTTTTATTCATCTAGTTTTTTTCCCCGCACTTCAATCCTTTGGAACTCTCTCCCATCTTCATGTTTTCCTGACTCATACAACCTTCAACTTTTCAAGTCTTCTGTCAACCGTTTCCTTGCTCTATAACTCTGTTCTTTTTTTTTCCTAGTAACTCCGAACTTAATAGTGGTTGCTTGCAGCCTTGTTGGGAGTGAATGCAAATAAAAAAAAAAAAAAAAAAATAGTTTTAATAAGTATGAAAGGTTTTCCAATATTTATTTTGTCAATGTCATGCATAAGTTTGTATAATTAGAATGAATCTCTCCCTTTTATATTCTCAGAGTTAACAAGCCTATTTTAATCAATTTATTTGAATGTTTATTTGAACAAACTTTTTACAAAGCATTTATAACAATAATTAAATCAGTGAAATTTTTAAAAATAAATCATTTAAAAAGTTCCAAAAGTAGAAGGAAAGTACAAATCAATTAGCTATGCTTGTGGAAAGACTTTTAAATTAGAATAGTTAATAAATAACAGAGTTGTTAGTCCTTGGCCTTGGTCTTCGCCTTGGCCTGGTCTTAAGGCCAAAAATTTAAGCCTTGGCCTTGAAAGTTTTGGCCTTGGCCTTGATTGTTTTGGCCTCAGCCTTGAAAAAAATACATATTTTTTATTGTTTTTGTTGAATTCTGCAAATAACCTTGGTCTATTTTTACAAAATGTGGTTTTATTTTCACAGTACTTGCTACTTACAGTTTTGTGAAGAATTGGACTTAACGCATTGCAAAAATTGAAGTTTTAAAAATTTTAGCATATGTCTTGACAGTGAAACTCTTGGCCTTAACCTCAAAAATCTTGGTTTTGTCCTTGGCCTTGTAACTTTTGTCCTTGGCCATGTAACTTTTGTCCTTGGCCTTGTAACTTTTGTCCTTGGCCTTGTAACTTTTGTCCTTGGCCTTGTAACTTTTGTCCTTGGCCTTGTAACTTTTGTCCTTGGCCTTGTAACTTTTGTCCTTGGCCTTGTAACTTTTGTCCTTGGCCTTGTAACTTTTGTCCTTGGCCTTGTAACTTTTGTCCTTGGCTTTGTAACTTTTGTCCTTGGCTTTGTAACTTTTGTCCTTGGCCTTGTAACTTTTGTCCTTGGCCTTGTAACTTTTGGCCTTATTAATATCTCTGATAAATACCCTTTGTAACTATGTTGTAAATGTAGAAGTTAAAAATTCTGGTTGCTTAAATAACATTTAATAGGACTTAAAAGAAGGAGTTAATAGGACTAAAATCCATAATAATAGGACTTAAAAAATATAAAAATCCATAATAATAGGACATAAAAATATTATGCTGATATTTAGAGATTACCTAGTCAATGGACTGTTAAATGTTCAGTATTCTAACAAGAGTATTACATTTTAATCAATTTTGTATTGATCTTCCAGCACAAGTTGTGGTGCTATTGAAAATGCCTTAAAACTCAGATGTTACTATAAAGTTAGGTTTGTAAATGTTTCAAGATATTTCATTTGTTAGATTTTTTTAAAAATTTAATTATTTGTATTGAATACTTTACTTTTGATATTTCTTTGCAGTTATTTTATGTTTACTTAAATATTATTTTTTATTTTTCTTTAACTGCATTTAGTTTTCTTTAACTGCATCATATAACTTCTTTGTAGGTTTAGTTATTGAGTATATGTATTTTAGAATAAAAGATTGTAATAAAAAAATTAAAGATGTTATTTTGAGATCTAAGCAACACTATAGACTTCGTGAATTTAGTTTTTAACCATTGACAGACTGCCAATCCATAAATCCATAAAAGTGTAAATATGTTTCTCTGGCCAATCTAGTGTCATATTGACAATATTTGTAAAACCAATTTCATTTGTTGTGATGTTGTTTTGTAGATTACAGAAGTCAGCTAGTTTAGAAAACTTGAAAGATTTCACAGGGAAATCTTAGGGTGGCATACATAAAGTATGTATGCAGTAAAACCAATGAATAAGGAACCCCTTCCCATGGTACACACCTGTATGGTATTTATGCCCCCCTTCTCTTCCAACTGCATTTGTATCTATTTTTACAAAATCAACCTCTTTCCCCCAACCTATTTCCGACGGATAATTTTTTTCAAAGCATTAAAAACAAAAAAGTTTTAGTTATTTTGACATCAATCATAACAGAATTATTAATTTTGTTACTTGACAGAAAGATAATTTTTTAAACTCAAGAAACTCTATGCTTTTGTTAATAAAAAAAGAAATCAAGTTCTCAAATAGATAGAGAATGAGAATTAGTCACACCACGTACATACTTGGTGTCTTTAACCCCTCACTCTCTCTCTCTCTAGTACACATTCATAAGTTTTTTGATAAATTTCTCCCCCCATACCAGCATCTATACTTAATGGAAGATCCCTAATAGCGAATGACATTTATAATAATGGAAAAGTCATACAAGTAAAAGGTTAAATATTTTAATTTGTGATGCACCAGCTTTTATTTAATCTTTATAATGGTCATTATGGATGTGATTGTATAGTGGAATAAATCTATAATGGTTAAATGAATTTTTATGCCCATTGGTTGGGCATAAAAATTCATTTAACCAAATTGACTTTGCTTGTACTAAAAATATACATTTTATCTGGGAAAAATGCTGCATCTTTATTTGTTATCTGGGCAAATTAATTACCTGTTTACTTGAACGGATGCATTTATATAGAATTTAATTGTAAATCATGTTGTAAAACCAAGTCTAAATTATAAGAAGTTGTGAAAAGCCTCTGAATCCAGAACTTTTCTTTTATATTGTGGGCAAGTGATTTTAAATAGTATACTCAGCAAAGAAAAATACATACATTTTTTAATTGTTAGTTTAAGTGTAGCTTATACTGAACATTAACTGAATAGTAAAGATTAATTGACGTAATAAGGTTATATTCATGAACTTCTTTGTTGTTTTGAGAACAATCTCTCTGATCATCTATTAATTAGTTTATAACTTTCATTGTTTAAATCATTTAGCTTATGATATCAGCTATAAAAAGAATAATACAATATCTTTCTCAAGTAATAGCTCAAAATACTATGTGACTTAAAGAAACTATCAAAAGCAGCATTTTGTAAAAAAAAAATTAATGCAAAGAATGATGATAGCTATTGCCTCAAGAATGGATGATTTTATTTATTTTTTATTAAATGTTTTTTTTGTGTTTAAGTGTTTATTTTGTTTAATTTTTAAGTTAAATGTTAAATACATCTTCTAGTGAAATAGTATCTGTCATAAGAATGTTTAGAATAAGATAATATACATAGGCAATGTTTAGAATAAGAGAATAAGATAGTATATATATATATATATATATATATATATATATATATATATATATATATATATATATATATATATATATATATATATATATATATATATATATATATATATATATATATATATATATATATATATATATATATATATATATATATATATATATATATATATGAATTTTTGTTAGTGTTCTATTTTTTTTTAGCTGGCTGTATAGATTGAAAAAAATTTTAATAATATTAATTAATATTTAAAAAATTTTTAGATTATAATTGCAGTGTATTTCAAAATACTATGCTTTATGAAATCTTAAGCAACTTCAATAAAATGATGACAATGGCTCGTGTTAGGTAAAATAGTAATATAGAATACCAAAATAATAAATTTAAAATTATTTACAATCAACTAAGTTAAATAAATATATACATAGGCAAACGTGTTATTATTCATTTATGTTGTGGTCTAATAACATGTTCTATTATGAGTCTGTGCTTTTTTTCCAGAGTTTAGGAAGATAATTATTTGTAAAACTTTGTTGCTATATAATTGACAATACTGTCAATTATATAGTACCAATTGGTACTGATAAATTTTCAAAACAAAGTTTTTTTATATTAACTTCATTGTGCCCACAAGCTTTATTTACTGTTAATAATTGTATGTTGATATTCTAAAATAACAAGTCATTTGAACTTTTTGAATTTTTTGAACTTTAAATTTTTTGAAAAGTTAAATTATATATCATCTTTTAAAAACTTTTTGGGACTGCTAATTCGTGTTTTTTGAATAATAAGGTAAGCCTAGTTTTAAACATTTACTGTAAACTTTTACAAACTGAACTAATTTTGCAACATTTTTCAATGCTTTTGTCTGAGACACAATTTCTATTTTATTTTATTTTATTTTTTTCTAGGTTTTCTAGGTTTATAATTACAATTTGAATAACAAAGCAATGAAGCTTGTGTGATGGCAATATTTAACTCTTAAGAGAAAAAAAATTACAAAACTTAATATTAGACAAATTTGTTTATAAGGTAAAAATCATTTTTATTTCGTTATTATTTAGGCAATAATTTAGATTTTTGTTGATGGCTAATATTTTTGTTTATTATTTTCAGCTCGCAACATTGTTTTCAGACAATAAATAAATCTAAATTTTATTTGGAAAAGAAGTAGAATGCAACATTCAAAAAGTGACTTTTAGATCAAGTCTGTATATCTGTCGAAAACCCAATTGTAAAGTTAGAGCGATGCAATAGCCGAGCCCATATATATATCTGAATATATATCTGTCAAAGATCGTTCAAATACAGAAAATGTCACAAATTTGTGACATTTTCTGTATTTCTTTTTGTTAAGGCTTTACCTGAATATTTGCTACCTATTATTTTTTTCAAATAAAACTTTTAATAATTATATTGACTTTTTTTCGAAGCGTTATGTAATATAATATTGAATATATATTTATATAATAAGAAGTCTATCAATTTCAACAAAAATGTTTATTTATACGATATAATTTAACTTTACTATATAAATAGAAAAAATTTTAAAATAATTATAAAATATTTATAAAAATATAATTAATTAAAATAATAATAAAATGCTTTTTTTATTAAAATATAATTAAATAAAATAATTATAGCGGAATTATTATGATAACGAGTTTTGCGTAAACTTCTCATATTAACAAATATGTTAATATGAGAATTGTATAGGTAATGATATTATTCTGAACTCAAAACTTGATATATATATCAAGTTCAGAATAATATCAATACGTGATTTCATTTTGATATCATATTTATATCATAAACTTCTCATATTATGATATCAGGGTTTGAGTTCAAAATGATATCAATGAGTGATTTTATTTTTTATCATATTAATATAATAAACTTCTCATTTTATGATATCAGGGTTTGAGTTCATAATGATATCAATGTGTGATTTCATTTTGATATCATAATAATATCATAAATGTCTCATATCATGATATCATATAACTCATAGTTTGATATCATTTTGATATCAAATTCCTGACCGGGATACCATTTTCGAAAATGTTATTAAAGGCAGGTGCAGTTTTTAAAATAACGGGTAATGCTATCAGGACAAAATAAAAATGTCAATATCTTATTAATAAATAAAAAAACTATATTTTTTAAATAAAGTATTTATCTTTTAATAAAAATCAGTTATTTCTTATATGAAAAAAACACCATTATATGCGATCATTATCTCCATCATCTGCAATCATTATCTCCATAATCTGCAATTGATTTCAAATTGAAACCTTTAATAAGTGACTATAAAAAATTTCTTTTAGTTTTAATTTAATGCGATCAATCAAAACTTGCTTGCCGCTCTTCCTTGTTTGTTTGCCAACCTATGTAACCCTTGGTTTGCAACCCTTGTAAACCTTCTGTCTAATGTCTCCAAAAGTTATAAATTGATGTGCCTGAGGTACATTTAGGGGGTTGGGTTCTTTATTAACGTAATTGACATATTTGTCCGTCTAGTTTAATGATATTTGTGAATGAATAGAAGAAGTTGCTTTTCAAAACATTCATCAATATAGATTGATATAATAATTACTACGGCTTTGAAAGTATAAAATAATGGCTCTGGCGTACCACTGTCAGATATGATTATCCACATTATTATTTTTTTGGAAAATTCTTTTTTTTAAAAAAGCAAACAGTTTTTGGGCGTGTTTTATTTGTTTTTCAATAATGTATTTTGAAATTTCGTTTTTTTGAGTGACGACCAATTTTTGATTAGTTTACACCAATTTTAAGACCTATTTTTATTTTACATTTCTCTGACTGATCCCTTTTCGATTGTTGACAAGGTTCATTAATTTCGCTTTTTCACTTTCCAATAATTTGTTTATCAGGGTATTTTGTAAAAAAACAATTTCCAGAGCTCAGTTCAAACATTGGATCAATCCTTCTAAGCAACCACTGCGCTACGCTTAAATAATATTTTTGTTTAATAATAAACACTTGTAAACGATATTTTTTGATGAACATATAAATAAGGTAAAAAGATTTTTTGTTTGCAATTACAATTTTCAGTATTTTTTTCTTTAAAATATTTGTTTTCAATTCAACATTGTGGTTTTTTATAATTCTTTCTTATTTTTTTACAGCTATAACTTTTAATACTTATAATTATATAGAATAATTCATCATTCGTTTTTTTTTTAAGGTTCATAGAGATTAAATCTAACATCAAGAAAATTCAAAATCTTTAAATAAGTGTTTGTTTCAAATTAAAAGCAAATGGTTTTGAAAATTTGAATAATATTTTTTTTGGATATTTAGAAGTTTGAGGTCCTATTTCATTTTACACCATCATCACAATACTTTAAATCTATAAGCGTTACAGCACTTTATATACATTCATTTTAGAACTCTATCGTGTGGAATATTAATCTCTAAAAAAATTATAGTGTGGTAATGATTGTTCAAATAGAACTTTACAAAACATTATTAATTGTTTAAAAACCAAATAAATAAAAACATTTTTCAAATTGAAATGTAATTTCAACTCTTTGTAATCTTTTCTATTAGCTCTTTTACAAACTCAATTTGAAAAATTTTTAAAAATGATTGATTCTAAAAAATGATTTTATGTTATATGAAAACGTTGTACATGAGATTTTGACAAATAACATTACCAAGTATCTTTATGACATGAGCATGGCAATAGGAATAGGTAAAGTGAAAGAAAGCCTAGCGAAAAAAGCCTAGCTCATTGGTTAATTCTCGATGGCTGGCAACAGCAAATTGAATCCTCCGTTTGTATGTTGCAAGCAAATTAAATCCTTCGTTTGTATGTTGCAAACAAATTGAATTCTCCGTTTGTATGTTGCACTTTTCCGTCTACCAAGCTTGTAATACTTATATTCTTCGAGCATATGCATCGGTACGATTCTTTATAAAACTGGAGCTTCAATATTACATGAGGAGCTTTGATGTTACCTTGACGTTCCTTTAATGTTGCCTCACTTGTGGCGCTTAATTCAATTCTTTTTCTTCCTTTCTGAAAGTGATTGACTTTTAGTTAATAAATAAATTCAAAGAAATGCATATTATGGTCACCCGAAAAATATTTTAATATCAATGTTGGTGGATGAAAGAAAAGAAATTAATAATTAGTAGTTATAAGAATTAAATTGGCGAGGTAATGTACAGTTTCAAGTTCCACAGAAGTAAGAAAATTCAAAGTTCCTCTTCTAAATTTTTATGTAGTTGATTGCCATATTCTGGTAAACTGGGAGGAACTTCCAAAGGCTCCACTATCTCAGTGCCGCACCAAGGGGGCTAGGGGGCTTTAGCCCGGGGCCCCGCAAATTTAGGGACCCTCCAAAAACAAAAATACTAATAAATTTAGGGACCCTCCAAAAACAAAAATACTATACTTCTTAAGGCCTCGGGCCTTAAGAAGTCTTAATTCTCCACTGCGCTATCTATTTTAAAAGACTTAAATGATGATTACATTGAAACTAAATTTTGATGATTTTCCATGCCATTCTCAAAATGTAGAAAGACGAGTTAAATTGGTAACAGAAGCAGCCGTATCTGGAGAATTTGTGCTTATTTTGAAAATCGTCTCTTTTCTTTTTTGTGTCAGTGTTGTTTCTTTAACAAACTCTATCATTTACTTTTAACTGTCTCAGCAACAGTTGGATTTGTTTTGGTGACTGATTCTGCAATTGAACTGATTATATCAGTCTTATCCTCACCAAAATAGATTCCTTCTGCAGCATACTTTGGTGTCAGATATAGGCGATTCCCATACTTGAGATGATAAGGAATTTAAGGCGTTTCATAACCATTTCCTGAATATTTTCCTCATTTGCGAATTTTTTGTACATTTCACTAAAATAATAGTACACCAAAGATAATAGAGCATCATCATTTTTAAGTCTTCCAAAGATGTTGGAAGGATATTCGATATCTTTCACAAGTTTTGCCAAACAATCCCAGAAAGCATTTGATTTAACTAGCGTCAAAACAGTGGCCGAATTCGTTTTAGGAGCAATTTCTTTCAAAGATGCATTTTCCTTAACCGCAAGTTGAATCAAAACATACTTTGCCATACAAAGGTTGTTCATTGAATTAAAATGAACAACCATTGAATCATCGAGTCGAAACAGGCATCGTGAGTGAGCAATGAATATTAGCTGCAGTTCTCATTTCATCAAACTTTGCTTTAACAATGTGATGATTTTTCACAAACTTGATAACTTTTTCAACTTCTTTGATGGTCTTTGAACTTTCAGCACTACTCAAAATGTCCTTAACGAGAAGATTCATATCGTGTGCTGCACAGCCATACGTCGAGATGTGTGGAAATTTTTCTTCCATTAAATTCTAAGCAGCTTTCATTACTGGAGCGTTGTCAGTGATAATGCTTCTGAACCTTTCTGGACCGAGAGTCTCGATTACTTCGATGATAGCACCAGCAACACCTACAGCATTTTGAATTATGCCCGATGTGTTGATTGGAGTATAGAAAAATGGTTTTGTATTTGGTGCCTTGATACAAAAATTCACTATATGATCGCCACCAATATTTTTCTAACCATTACTAACGAGCGTTAAATTTTCAGATGATTCGATAATTTCTTCCAATTTAGCGGAGCATTCTGCGTACTTTTTATCAAGAAGCAAACCTGACAGCGTTTTCGTGCACGGTATTGATGATGCATACAATGGATTAAGTGCTTTGATCAAATCCTTAAAGCTTCTAATTCAACGAAACAAAGAGATATTCCAGTTAGGAAAAAGAAATTTGCTTATTTCATATCGATTTCTTTTTTTAATTCTTCAGGATTTATCAGATTGAAAATTTCGTAAGTTTCAGCTGAGATTATAATGTCGTTGTCAAAGTTTATTAATGATTCGGCTTTTCATTTTAGAAACAATAGTGCTGCGACGCGATTTTGTGCCCATTGAACTGTCTTTATATATATATATATATATATATATATATATATATATATATATATATATATATATATATATATATATATATATATGTATATATATACATATATATATATATATATATATATATATATATATATATATATATATATATATATATATATATATATATATATATATATATATATATATATATATATATATATATATATATATATATATATATATATATATATATATATATATATATTATATATATATATATATACATATATATATATATATATATATATATATATATATATATATATATATATATATATATATATATATATATATATATAATATACTTACGTAAAATCATGGCCTATTTAAATTACACAGCCTGATTTGTTGCATTTTTACTAATAAGAGTTTTTTTAAGGTATATCCTTAAAAACTTGTGTTCTTAGTTTT